GGTAAGGAACAAGGAATCGACAAATTCTCCTTCCTTAACAACACTCGTCCACATTTGGGAGATGACCAAGTGTCTAAGAGAAACCAAGATTCGTTTTTTTACATTCTGAGAGATGATCTTTTGCATCCTCTTGTTAATGGTAACAAAGCTAGAAAGCTTGATGCTTTGTTACCACTTCTTCAAGATCATCAAGTTACTGATTTGGTGAGGATTGAGATCATATTCTTATCTAGAGTTATTATTTCTCAGTTGGGTTCTTTTGACAAAGGCATAAAGCTTAGAGCTTTTTCTTGTGTATAGGTTACATGTGGAGGTTGTCAAAGTGCACATACAGCTGCAGTTGGTAAAAGTTTTGATTTTTTTTTTTTTATTTATTAGAGAATTATAACCGAGTTAGGTTTTGATTGAAATGGAGATCAGTTGGTTATATTTTGCAGCTGTTTCGTGCGCCGAGAGAGGTATAAGATCACATTTGCTGCTGCGTGGAGAACAGCCCGAGGTTTTGACAGGTTATAACCTTATTTCAAGTATGTATGGAAATGTTCAATATATTCCAAGGCCGAGGTATGCGAATAGAGAGGAAATGCTGAGAACTCATGCGGATCTTGTCGCTGGGAAAGACGGTTCTGTCTTGTGGGCTAAAGACTTTGTTGAGGCTATAGATGTTGCCGAAAAGGATGATTTTTTTAGCTTTAAAACTTCTCGTAGAAAGGTTTTGATTGTCAATGAAGGCGCTGGAGATGCGTTTGCATTACTCGGTAAACATTGATTTTGGTTATAATCTAGGTAGTGTACTAAATTAATGTGGAGGAACTGATCAAGATTATCGTTTATGTGTAATGGCTAAGAAAGGCTTTGTCACTACGCAGGTATGTTTCGGTTAGTGCAGTATTTGTCACAAGATCATTTACTCGGGAAGAAGAGGCCGGTCAAATTTGTAATCGACGCTGGTACTGGAACAACTGCTGTGGGTTTAGGACTTGCAGTTATGTCTTTAGGGTTAGTGTTTTGTTCACAAGATTTATCCGATACTCTTTGTGTCTGATTCCTTTTCGATTACCGAAGCTTTTTGCATCTTGATTACCAGCTCACTTAAAATTCTTCTCAGGCTCCCATGGGAAATCAATGCAGTGATGCTAGCTGATACACTCGAAAACTACAAGAGACATGAAGATCGATTGATAGCAGAATTTACGAGGCAGTTTCTTGCCTCGAGCTTCTGCAGCAGCTTGGATATGATCAAATGGATTGATCGTCAACACCCGAGAAAGTATGATGCAAGTTCTTCTTTTCACAATTGAAGATATATATAACAATGATCTCTGTTTACACTCCAACTTTGACGCTTTGTAATGGTTTGAGCTATCATTTATCTGTTTCCTTTTGTTCTTGCAGATTTGGGAAGGTGTTGGAAGGAGAAGTGAAGATGTGTCAGAAAATTGCACAGGAGACTGGAGTCTTAGTGGATCCAATGTATACTTTAGCTGCTTGGGAGACAGCAACAGAGCTCGCGCAAGACGCGAAATCAAGCATTGTAGTGATGCTTCACACTGGAGGCACTCTTGGGATGTTTGGTCTTGCTCAAAGATACAAATCTTGTTTCGCTAACTTGAAAGATTAGGATACAATTTCCAAGACTTAGAGACAGAAAATCTTAAAGATGGGTTACTTCTACTTC